ATTCCTCTTTTATAAAAGGGTTAATATATTTGTATGGCTTGAACTTTGATCATAATAAACATCATGACCAATCTTTTTGATCTATAACATTCTGACCCAAATTATACATTAAAGTAACGACATTGGTCAAACCCGATGTTTGACCGTTATCTTTGACGGTCAAACGTGTTGACTAACGGTCAACATGCCACGTCACCACCCGATCATCATAAAAAATCATTAAAATATTCACAATTTAAACATATTTTCTAGTTTTGAATTATTACAATTAAATTAAAACAAATTTTTTTTAAGAAAACCCATCGAAGGCTCCCCTCCGTCTACTCCCCCAACCTCTTCTACGATTTCTGATTTCTTCTTCCTCTTTTATTCTAAAACCCTAATTCGTGTCCAATTCCCAGCTTCAATTTCCAGTTTCCGACAGACCCTTTTTCCAATTTGAACAGATGCGACAAACAATACGCAGTCATTGCTTGAACAGTTGCGACCGCCGTCTTCCCAGTCTCGGAAGCTTCACCTTGTTCTCCCACCGGAACGAAATCTTCTCTTCTCTAAACGTCCACTCATGCCAGCGTCGGAGACATATTCGCCACTCCAAGGGGTGTACCTGTGCGCTGAAGCTCGACGAAGGCTAGAGAAGCGGCGATGGAGGCGAATGTTGTCTGAAAGAGGAGCGATTTCAAGAAAATTATGATACTTGGTGTGGGATCGATTGTGATTGGTTAAGCTTGCGAGTTCGATTACTCGGGGACTCAGGCCTGCAAGGCGCTCAAGGATGAAGGGTACGAGTTGTTGTGTTAATCAATTGACGGACCTAGAATTGGAGATCATATGGAGGAATCGCGACACCAATGGTCACAACGCATACTTGGCCTACATCTCAGAAGGAATCGGGAAGTCGCGTGGAGCTTGGGAATCCGCCATGAAATTCCAGCTTGGGATCTGGTGGCGTGTCCGTTGGCGGAGTTGACGGAGTGGAGGGGGACCGTCAAAGAAGAGCTCGGGGTAGAAGGAGTGTGACTGTCGAAGAAGAGGATGGGGGAGTAGACAGAGGGGAGTCATTGGTGGATGTTCTATTTTTTTTAATTATAATAATTCAAAATTAGAAAATAGGTGTAAAATTTGAATATTTTAATAATTTTTATGATGACCGGGCGGTGACGTGGCATGTTGACCGTCCAAGATAACGGTCAAACATCGGGCTTGGCCAATGTCGTTACTTTGATGTATAGTTTGGGCAAGTATGTTATAGATCGAAAAGATTGGTCAGGATGTTTATTATGGTCAAACTTCAGGTCATACAAATATATTAACCCTTTATAAAATTATTTATTTGTATACAATTTACAAACACATAAAAAAATGTACTCTACATTTTTTGGGCCAAGATGGTGCAAATGACACACCTTGGTTATAAGTGGCTCCGCCGGGTCCGGATCATGTGACTGGGGGGGTGCTTAATCACTTGACTAAGCCCCTCCCAGCCCTTAGATATGGACACATCAATCTAACGGTTAAAAAATGGAAATAGTTTTTTTAATTACTGATAGAAGTAGTTTGGGTATTATGAAAAATTATGAAGCATACAAAACAGACTTACAAACAGTACAAACTAGAACAATAAAATATACAAACATTGCAAACAGATGAACTATACAAACAATACAAACTAGACCGACAAACAATATAAACCTTACAAAAAGAAAAAAACAACTGGGTTGACTTTGGAGACTTCATCCTAATATAAAGTATATAAAGGGGCTCCGTCCCAAAGTCAACCTGATTGTTTTTAAAACATACAAACATTACAAACATGGTGGACAAAAATGACAAACTAGACCGACAATCCATACAAACTGAAAAACCACCCGGGTTGACTTTGGAAGCTTCATCCCTATATAGAGGAGTTTCATCCAAAAGTCAACCAGGTTATTTTTTAGACATAAAAAGCATTACAAACATGGTTGACAAAAATGATAAACATGGTGCACAAAAATAATAAAGTTTACAAACATTACAAAAGAAACCGACAAACATTACAGAATAACAAAGCTTACAAACATTACAAAATAAACCGACAAACAGTACAAAGTATACTAACCGTACAAAACGTCACTAAAAATGACAAAGAAGAATGATAAATAATACAAACGCAATCGATACAACCATTACAAAATAGTTCAACAAACATCACAAATCTAGCATTGTTCTGGGAAATCCTTCTCTGTTGTCGTTGGTCGCCGGAAAAGTTTCCTCTGATCAGCAGAAAATCTCTCTCTCTTGGCACGAGGAACTCCATGGAGGGGAGGGGGAATATATTTCCCAGGCCCACTATTGGGGAAAACAAATTGCAATGGTAACGCCGGTAAAAATTGGAATCCCTGGCCGGCGGAAGAGACGAGAGACACCGGGAAATCCCGATCGGGGAAGAGACGCGACAAAAAATAGAGTTTTTTAATTAATTAATAACTGAAAATTAATAAAATTAATACAATTATTATATTATCCTACATTAAATTAAATTAATCTGAACCATTGAATTTTAATGAGGTGAAAAGGTTGAGATTCACTTAGTCACGTGACTAAGGGCTTAGACGGGCTCCGCCACTGCCCACTATCGGCTCTCCTGTCATCTAAAGCAATACTAATGTACCCTTGAAGGCCAATTAACAACTAAGGTCAAGGTCAATAATGGTCGACGATAGCTTTTTGAAATCATATTTGATTAATGATTTCCCAAATGCCAATCCTCAAATCCAATAGATATTAATCTAGTACCAAAAATAGCATAATGCAACAAAGTACAAGTCGACAGAAGAAGAAAGGTAAGATGTATTGAACTCGTTGCTTCTTTTGCTGTGTTTTTCTCTACATTTGGGTAGCTGGATCTAACCAGCCCAGTGAGATAAGGTTTCAGGTCTGATCGATTGCGATGGCGGCAGTTCTGGAATCGACGGTTTAGGAGTTGGGAGAGCCAGATTGTTGATGATTTAAGAGTTGGCGGGCAAGACTACGAGGGAGGATGGGGAAATGGTGGTTGGGAATGGGGAAGGAGTGAGAGGAGATTCAGTTGACGATTTAGGAGTTAGGAGAGCGAGGAAGGTTTTTTTTTTTTTTTTTTTTGACAATAGAGAGCGAGGAAGGTTGAGGTCGACGGAGAGCAGAGAAGCGGGGGCAGTTGGCGGAGGAGAGAAGACTCATTTCCATTATCGAATTATTGAACACATTAGATAGAGATATTTAATTTATTTACTTTCTGAAAGATAAATTGTTTTATAAAGTTATGTAATATTTATGTGGCATAAGACGTATTTTCATGTCATTCATCTTACTTATCATTTTGTCACGTTAGAGTTAATTGACGGTCAAACGGATGAAAAATTAATGATTTGTCTATTATTTTATTTTAAACGAAAAAGTTTGGCTATTACATTATATTAACCCTAATAACATTGACTTGGCAACATGATATTGTCTTGCAAGAGACACATGTTAGTCAAAATTCTAAAATTTTAGTATTTTAACTAAGAAAATAGTTAAAAATTACTAATGCTAACATTTAGATTCATTACAAAAGATTTAGCTAACATTTTGTATTGCACAGGATATGTCTAAAAATGTGAAAAGTTTGAAAGGTTTGACTAACAAATTATATTTGGAAGAGGATCTATGGCATAACATTATTGTGCATAACCATATACTTATCATTTATGGAAGATTACTAACTTTCTTCATAATAAACATTAACGGGTTATATTTCTTTCGTTTTAATTCAAAATTAAAAAGAAATTGCACAGAAAAACACATTCATTGTGCTCTTCAAAATGACATCTAGACATTTATTACCGGTCAATATAATGTGATACTATTTGGTATGCACATAAGAATGTACCACGTGGTTTGGAAGTACATCATGATGGTATGAACACACAACAGTGTAGAATGATTGTATATGTGATAGTAGAAATTTCTTATCGTCATTTACCACCTTTCATCAACATATACCACCAGTTACCTCCCTATACCAGGGTAATATATGGTGATACTTTTTTCGTTGATTTTTTTTCAAAAAAAAAAAAAAATCAAAACTTGAGTTGAAAATGAAGGTGGTGTTAAGTGGTATGAATTGTTTTTCTCGAAATATAATATTGAAAATGAAGGTGGTGTTAAGTAGTATGAATTGTTTTTCTCGAAATATAATATTGAAAATGAAGCTCTTTTAGTAGATCATAAAAAATCCGTTCAATCTGTGAAAAAAAATTGAAATCCAAATAAGAACGATGAAGATAAAAATTAATAAAAAACTAAGAAAAATACAAAGTATTTTACCCTCACTTCTTAGATCGAGCCCTACTGAAAATCAAATACTCAAATATAGTTATACACCTTATCCTACCTATCTGCGTGGTATTGTATTTAGTATTTACCCTTTGAGTAGTGATGGAAATGAGGCGAGTATTTTAATACCCATGTCCTGCCCTTTACTATTACGGGATTGGACGGGTACTATCGACGTGAGTACGGGTGAGACAGATCGACCCATTATTTTATGTAATTTGAAAAAAATACACGAAAAATGTATTTTTCACGATAAAATAAAGAAAAAACACTTTATGAATGAACATAGTGATAATAGAATGAAAAATTGAGTCTAACCAAGTCTAAATAGTTGAAGAAAAGTCTAAATAGTTGAAAAAGTCGAAATACGAAAATTATGTATTGATATTATAAGAAATTGAGATAAAATAAGCAAAAAATCGGACAAGACATAATGAATCGGAAGTAGATATTCTTGTCCCGTCCTTCACTATTGCGAGTCAGGTAATATCCACCCATCATGAATCAAATCGAGTAATACCCAACAATGCGGGTTCAATTGCCATCCCTCTACATTCACCACCCATCTGACATCTTTTTTCCTATTTTCTTTCTGTATATCACGTTTTTCTTTTGGGCCCGCCTAGAAACCAACGGCCCAATATGTCGGGCCTATGTATAGCAGTCATCTGTGTCTTTCCTTCTTGTATTCTTCCGGTTCTTCCTTCTCTAAACCCTAGTGCTTCCAAGAGGAAAATCGCAGCCTAATACTCAGGTGACGGGTGAAGGAAAGGCAGAGCGGAGAAGGGAAGAAACCGGAAAGATGAGACCGATTTTGATGAAGGGCCATGAAAGGCCGTTGACGTTTCTGAAGTATAATCGCGAGGGCGATCTATTGTTCTCCTGCGCCAAGGATCACACTCCCACTGTCTGGTTTGCCGATGACGGAGAGCGCTTGGGCACTTACCGCGGCCACAATGGAGCTGTCTGGTCTTGTGATGTCTCAAGCAAGCCTCTCTCTCTCATACCTCCTTGTTCCTCTTTCTATCTTTCAAATTCGGACACTCACTGTTTTTGTTTGGCCTGTCAGGAGATTCGATGATGTTGATTACTGCCAGTGCTGACCAGACAGCTAAGCTTTGGAATGTCCAGACTGGGGCGCAGCTGTTTACTTTCAATTTTGACTCTCCAGCGAGGTCTGTTGACCTTTCTGTTGGTGATAACCTTGCCGTCATTACAACAGACCCCTTCATGGCTTTTACCTCTGCCATCCATGTGAAGCGCATTGCTAGCGATTCTTCTGAACGTACGTTCTTTGCTTGCAATTGGCTACCTTGTGTTCTGTCTTGACAGCGTGTGTTAGTTATCAGTTCATCAACAATTAACAATATTTAATGGGCGGATGCAATGTGTAGAAATTGGCGATTCAGTTTTGGTACTCAAGGGGCCTCAGGGCAGGATTAATAGAGCTGTTTGGGGACCTCTCAACCGGACCATAATCAGTGCTGGAGAGGATTCCATCATTCGTAGATGGGATACCGAGGTAAATCCTTGAGTTTTTAGATTATTTGGTTTCCTGATTTCTCTGTCCTTAGCGAGTTTAGACTTCAATAATGGATTCATTAGGAGCCATTCCGATTGAATTGCTCTCTATGAGTGCATACTTCATGTGCTTGCTTCTAGATCACCTTGATCCTTTAGTAGAAATCAAGTTTTACTGAGCTCAAGTTTTAGGCTAGATATATGGAGGAGTGAGTATGTTCTGTTTTCTAACCTTCCTGTGCTTGCTTCTAGTAATATGATAATTCCATTTTAGTCTTCCTCAAGAATCCAGTTTGGTTGATTCAGATAATTCAATGTGTTGGACCTTGTTAGCTCAAACAGTGACAACTGTTGCGGTATTATGGCTATTTGATACAGTGAAATTATTTCTCAGTGGATGCTCAGTAATTGTAAAGTAACTGTGTAGTTCAAGTAAAGCTCTATTGAAATAGGGTCACCTATGTGTCTCCTGCAGGATCATCATTATCATTCCAAAGGGTTTGATGCCCTTGTGTATTTGTGGGACACCACATAAACGCCTACTAATATATTCCATGGAAGTGGAAGTTGACTGTAGTTTGATTGATGTTTTGTTAGAATGGTCAAGGTCAGAGTTGTTTAAACTATCTTTGCTTTGTTTTTGTTTTGAGAGGGGCAAGGGTAAAATGTTTGCTTTATATACCTTCACATTTATATTGTATTGTCTGTGTTGCTTTGGATGGGCATGTGCTCATCTAAACAGTTTGTATGTGGAATTTGTTCCTGTTGTTTGCATATCTTGTCATCATGAGATATTGCTTTGTCTCCTTCACTTAGATTACATGCTCGGTCTTCATCATCTGTATGCGGATGATTTGTGGTTTATCCTATCTTCCGAGTCCCTTTCATTTGGTTGATGGTATCATGCTATCTGTGTTGGTCTATGCTCATGATAATAGTATGAATGTGCTCATTTTGTAGACAGGAAAGTTGCTTCAAGAGTCAGAACCAGAAGTTGGACATAAGAAACAAATAACTTCACTGACAAAGTCTGCTGACTGTTCCCACTTTATTACTGGTTCCCTTGATAAATCAGCAAAGGTTGTCTCTGACAGTACATGTATATTCCATTGGTATATTTGATTTCCTTTGCACTGAGAATCTGACAGTCTCTTGTACTTGGACTTTTATGTAATGGTCAGCTTTGGGACATCAGAGATTTATCCCTGATTAAGACTTATCTGACTGAGCGGCCAGTCAATGCTGTTACAATGTCGCCACTTCTTGATCATGTATGTATTTTGAAGCAAGTTAATTATTTTTATTTATCTTTGCACTTATCGTATTGTTATTGCCAATATGGAAAATTTGCTTTGAGTGGGTTATATCATACTGTATCTTCTGTCTTTCATATGAATCTTAGCTTAAATGTTCTGTCGGGATCTGATTTTCTGTTGTGTGCTGTACAGGTTGTCTTGGGTGGTGGCCAAGATGCATCCGCAGTTACCACTACCGATCACCGTGCTGGAAAGTTCGAAGCAAAATTCTTTGATAAGGTTAATTGAACTTGACGAGTGCATTCTGTGAAATCCATTTCCGGTAGGATATTGGTTTGGCTGATTCATCTTTGCATGTGTGTGTTCTAGATTCTGCAAGAAGAAATTGGAGGTGTTAAAGGTCACTTTGGTCCGATCAATGCTCTGGCTTTCAACCCTGATGGCAAAAGGTGAGATTCCATTTTTTATAGATCCAGAGTAGTAATGAGGCTTCATCTTGCTTTGCATGTTTTCTTAACCGAATGTGATTTTGGTTTTTGGGGCATTACAGTTTCTCTAGTGGAGGTGAAGACGGGTATGTACGGCTGCATCACTTTGATCCCGATTACTTCAGCATCAAAATATAAGAAAAAGCGAGTGTGAGCTGCTCTGCAGTACCAGAGGGTGCGAATGTATTTTGGTTTATTTTCTAGCACAAGAAAGAACCTGCTTTGTTGGTCGCTGTTGTAGAATTACAAACGTTTGTAACGACTGCAGTTGGTAATTTTATTAGCAATATTATGTGTCAGGAGCTAGGATGGGCAACGGGTATTTGGGTATACACATATCCGTTCCTTTTTTTGAGGGTTATGGGTATCCAAATACTTGTAATATTTTTTACGGGATGGGATTTGAGATCAAAAAGTTTTATAATGGGTACCACAGGATACCAGTTAATACCCGTTTGGGTATTACGGATACCCGTACTACCCGCTCACCCAAATTATACTCCAATTTACTACTCTAACCCTTAGCTCAATGCGAACAAAGCATACCTCAAAGAGTAATTAGCCATTCACAGTTCAGTAAATCACTAACCATGACTAGCTGATAAATGAGTTTATAATGGCCTGCCTAATGAGTTGAGTTGTCTGCATGTTGACCATAAACAAATAAAATTGCCTGCCTGTTACAGTAGCAAGGAAACTAAAAGCCAAATTTCTTAAGACAATAAAATTATACTTAATAACTTGCATCTCGTTTTCACCCTCCCACAATCTTACTCGCAATCACCAATTTCACCCAGTTTAAGTAATCACTTCTGCCAACAATCACCATTATTTTCCTGGACATAGGTTAATAAGCATTCTGATGATCAACTAATTCCTTTTTAACAGGTATCCTGTGGTTAGTGGTGACAAACGGTAAACTATAAACCGTTTATCGGCGGTATCGGCGGCCGAGTGTCAAATGGTGAAGTTCGGTTTATCTGCCCCAGTGTCGGTAAATATCGATGGTAAATCGGTAATACCGACACCTATAAGTGCGCAACTTTGAGTTTGCCAAATATTAAGTTAAGGCATTAACATATAACATATACTTCATTATTCACCAATATTACATACATGAATGTAAGTAAGTAAGTATAGGCCTAAAAAATATTACAAATAAGAGTTAATAATAAATTATTAATTACAAAAATGAAGAAAAAAACTCAGAAAATCAAAATATTACAACATCACCCCACTGCTCAGAAATTCGGCTCGGTAATTTTCCGGTAAACCGAACCGAAAAACCGTCTGCAACTACTCCTTACGGTAAGTAGGTAAAACCGGTTTGTAACCGTTTACCGGTAATTCAGTAACCGGTATCGGTAATCGATTCCCCCTTACCCACACTCGGCATACCGAAAATCGGTAAAGTCGGTAACCGGTTTACCGATTACCGACCGAATACCACCTCTACCTGTGGTTGGAAGCACAGAGCGGCTATATCTAGTCAATGCTTTGTGCTTAATCATAAACTTAACACATATTTCGTACCAAATTTAGTAAATTACCTAATTGTACTTGTTATTCTTTTATGGGTATCCGCGGATACCCGTTATCCTTCCCGTACGAGTAATGGGCACCCGTCAACCCGTTCGAGTTTGGGACATGGGATGGAGTTTCTTCTCCAAATGGGAATGGGTACCAGTTTCAACCGGGACGGGTACCAAATCCTGTCCCGTTGTCCACCCCTACTAGGAGCTCGACCTTTTTTATTTTATTGAACGGAAACTACGAAAGAGGATATCCGGATTGGGTTGGTTGTTCGGCCACCAAGTTTAATTACACCCCTTGAGATTTGGGATTATCGTTTGCCTCATTTTCTTCAATCTCATAAAGTACTTATTTAAACCTAGAATGTACCAGGCGGTTTATGTGGTCACTCCAGTCAGGATTCCGCCTCTTATTAAATGCTGGTAGAGAACGTTGACTCCCGCACTAAAGGTCCTGAGGCGGTGGCCTCGGACACTCTCTAAAGATCAAGTTAGAAAGTAGAGAGAGAAGTGGGTAGTTCAGTTACCATTAAATGATGTGGGGAGTGGTATTTATAGTCGATAGTCATCTGTATGAGCATTTAATGCTCTGTCGTGCATGTACTGGAAATTGTCTTCTTGAGGCTATGCTTACGGTTGCATTTAATGTTATGTCCGTGATAGCATGATTAACCCTATAATTGTCCCGTCCATTGTACTTTGCCTATACCTCGCTTCCGGTGCTTTAGCTGTCCCATCTCTTCGTGACACCTCGCACTTCCGGATGTTTTAATGGGTTCTAACTGGGTTTATTGGGCCGAGTTGGGTTACATGGGCCTAGGTTTAGGAAGCAACCCTAATAAGCCCAACAGTACTCGTGTTTGCTCTCTTGTGCACTTACACGCCCCAATTGGCTAATTTTGCACATTCTTACATTCACTAACCATTTTAATCTGATCCTTCTGGTGAAGAAAGGATGGAGAATTTTTGTCTGCAATGAATGGTTGTAGTTCTCCACCTTCGAGTTCCGGAAAAAATCCAAAAGTACCACTGTTTAAAATTTTTTTTCCAAAAATACCACCCAACCCCAAAAAATTCCAAAAATACCACCCTTTTTTAAAAACCGCCACCCCACCCTGCGGTTTACACGAAAACCGTTTGTCTGGGGCGGTTATAAAACAAAAAAAAATAATTTGGACCAAACCACTGGGTGGGGTGGCGGTTTGACCCAAAACCGCCACCCCACCCAGCGGTTTGGTCCAAATTTGTTTTTTTTTTCAGATCAACTCCTAACTTCGGTCGAAACTTCAAACGAACGTAACTTTGCACTCGGGTATCCGATCGTAGCGATTTTTTTTCATTTCGCATAACTTTTCAAGATCTACAACTTTTACAAGGATGATATTTTCAAAACAGGAACTATTTGTGGATATACGGGACCTTGGGAATAACTTTACCTTTACTTTTCATAAATCCATGTACATTTTGAAATTATGATTATATTAAAAGTTGTAGATCTTGAAAAGTTATGTGGAATAAAAAAAAATTCGTGACATTCGGATTTTGGAGCACAAAGTTATGGCCTCCCAAAGTTTGACGAAATCAAAAAAAGGCTCGTTCGGGGTGGCAAATGACGTTTTTTCGAGACGAAGGCGGGACCCGGCGGTTTGCGGCTTGCAAGATCTCAAAAAGTTATTCGGATTCAAAAAATGGAGGCCGCAAACTTTTTGAGATCTTGCAATCCGCATACCGCCGGGTCTCGCATTTCGTCAAACTTTGGGCGGCCATAACTTTGTGCTCCAAAATCCGAATGTTATGAATTTTTTTTGATTCCGCATAACTTTTCAAAATCTACAACTTTTAATATAATCATAATTTCAAAATGTACATGGATTTGTGAAAAGTAAAGGTAAAGTTATTCTCAAGGTCCCGTATATCCACAAATAGTTCCTGTTTTGAAAATTTTATTCTAGTAAAAGTTGTAGATTTTGAAAAGTTATGCGAAATAAAAAAAATCGCTACGATCGGATACCCGAGTGCAAAGTTACGTTCGTTTGAAGTTTCGACCGAAGTTAGGAGTTGATCGGAAATTTTTTTTGGACCAAACCGCTGGGTGGGGTGGCGGTTTGAGCGGTTTTGGGTCAAACCGCCACCCCACCCAGCGGTTTGGTCCAATTTTTTTTTTTTATAACCGCCCCCTAGGCCCGCGGTTTGCATAGAAAACCGCACCCCCAACAAGCGGTTTTTCGTGTAAACCGCAGGGTGGGGTGGCGGTTTTTGAAAAAGGTGGTATTTTTGGAATTTTTTGGGATTGGGTGGTATTTTTGGAATTCTTTTTTTAAACAGTGGTATTTCTGGAAAAAGTCCTCGAGTTCCTGTCTGCAACGAACGGTCCTACATTTGGGGCTGTTGGGAAACAAGTGAGTGGCAATCTCAAGGAATCCATTTTTTTATTCAAAAGGAACCTATGCACCGTTCAATGATTAGGGTTACATGATCCTACCACACTTTCATAGCTATAACTATCCACATTGTGATAATAATAGTCTAAATTTTAAAAGTATACAGATATAGCCATTTTGTCTATAAATTAACGGTAGTGTCATGATTGTTGACTAAACAAATGATTATTTGTGAAAACTTTGCCACGTGTAAATGTCCTTATTATCATTATTAAGTGAAAAAGGGATGAGAAAGGGAGATGAATTAGCATCTACTCCACTTTACCCTATTCCCCCACCTTCCTTTCCTCTTCTTCGTAGTTCGTACACTCCGACCAGTCAACAAACCCAACCACTTCATCAAACTATCATCCCCTCCATCGATCAATCCCTTCATTCACTCCATATCTCCCTTCATTAATCACATCCATCCCACTCTAGCCTGCACCGTCGTTGGAAGCAGAAGAAAGGATGACATCCGACGGAACAACGACAACAACAGTGAGTAGGACGTCGTCTTGGAGGAGAGGGAGAACAACAGGAGGAGAGAGCGGCGTCGAAGATCTCACCACGATTCCGCCCGCTAGAGCTCATTCCGTCCAGAGGGGAATCATCTTCTTTCATTCATCTGCACCTGCAAAACCGATTCTTCCTCTTTGACACTCATCTTCATTTGTAAGAATTCTTAGTAATTAGCATGAATTGAGGATAATAGTAATGTATGGAGTTTTTATTGATTAGATATTATAGATATGATTGAATTCTTAGTAATTCACACAGTATATTAGTAGCTTAGGCTTAAAATTATGAAGGTGGACTGGTGACCGAAAGGTCACATAGCCTGGTGGTAAGGGAGGCGGACTGGTGAGTGACTCGCTATGACACAACTCCTAACAAAGGCCAAGTGTAACCAATGAAAGGGACTGCAGTATAGTGGCTCAAGTGATAAATATCAAATCCACGGGTCTCTAGAGTTACTATTACTCAACTTCAGTTTATTATTTAGCAAACCAGATTAAGATGATAGAACTAAAACTACTCTAGCAAACTACAGTTAAAGTTAATCTAATTACAGGTTGGGAACTCACTTAGGTATGATTCCCCCTAGCCACTAGCCAGACTAACGATTGATGATTTCTAACTTGTTTCTCTTTCATTCACAATGCGGAGAATCCTTGACTAGACCTTGAGTCTCGACTAAAGGAACAAGGCCCTCTTGAGTCAATTGCCTAGAGGGACGTATCCTTCTCTAGAACAAATGATCAAGGCGTTCTGAACTAGACTCCCTCTATCGAAAGAGGTTCTCAATCGATACAAAGCAGTGAATCAACCCTCGACTAAAGCAATCGATCCACTACTATCAATCTATGGTGCTCTATTGACCTAATCAGGTATTCCCTCTCATAGGATCAAAGCAGAATCAATAATCTCGACTAAAGCAGAATTGAATCATGAAAACATGCATAGATTGAATATGAACTCAAGATTATCAAGTCAGAGTACTCATACAATCATCCAATCAAACAAACATAGCTAGGGTTCCTCAAAACCTAAGTGAAGGGAAGTTACTCCATAGAGAAGAGAGAGACTGCAGTAAGAATCTTCAGATGATCAGTCTTCAAGTCCGGGCTTGTTCCTCGAGCTTCCAAGGCGAAGAAATCCTCCAAT